TATATATATATATACACACTATCATTTCTATTTGCTACTATTGTCCTGCTAAGTTTTATTTCACTGCCTTCATTTGTATATACATATTTCGTAGTTAAATTGACATAATTTAATTTCCTTTTTGGTATAATATAATACAATGAGTGATCTTTTTTAAATTTTGAAAATAATAGTATAATATATCTTTTAATTTTAATATATTTTAAGATTATAAGTTTTTGTAATATTTTATTGAATTTCTTTTGTTCAGTCAAATAAATTCACATAATTTTGAAAGCTTACGTATGTTTATTTTTTGAAAAGCATATATAGTTTTCTGATTATAAGTTAAACATTTGAACATTTAAATTGGAGATGGCTAGCTCCTTTTTAATTTCTTAAACACTCTTTATGTCTTTTGGAACTATACTTTGGTTTGGTAGCAAGAAAAGCAAAAGAAACTATTCCCTCCCTCAAAATGTATTTTAATATTGCGGTCTTAAACATGTCACGTCAAAAATTAAAATTAAAGTATTGCAAAAAAAAAACTTTTTTTTAACAAATTAAAAAAAAATATGATATTTTTTTTTTAAACAGAGGGAGTATTATAATATCTTCAAAAAGGCGTGCACTATTCCCCCACCAAAAAGTGTTCATACGATGTAGTCTGGGCCTATGATTTTGAACATATGATTATGATAGTATATAATTGTTTTCAAACTAATTATGTCCTTTCAATTAGTGTTATATTTATACATTCTTCTTGAAGTACGTCAACAAAAAAGAAAAAAAGTTCTAACTAATGATTATTAAAGAAACCATATTTTATTGTTAATGGAAAATTAGTGACCTATATAAGTACTTTTAAAATGCAATAAAAGGAAAAGCGAAGAATTGTTTGATACATAAATGCAGCGTGAAACATGCAAAAATGGTTATTTTCCCCAATAATTATATTTCTATTAGAAATGCAAAGAGTGAATAGAAATCATATCTCTACCCTAACAAACATATTAATAACTATTTTCATGATTTAAATTTATGATCTACAAAATATAAATAAATAATTCTATCGTTACTCCAAAACAACTAGAAAATTTAAATAGTAATGAGGGGAGACGTGAAAGTTAACACTTATTGACCAATGGCTAAAATAAGGTTAATTTTTCACACTTAAACATGATTAAAATAACATGTTTGCCGCAGAAAGTGTAAGAATATATATACATATATATACTCTTCTATGTGGAATCTCAAACACAAGCAACGAATGTCTGCTATTTAATTTTTCTGTTATAACTTCTTTCTTTTATTTTAATTAAAAGAAATCCTATCACGATATAGACAGTGTTTATTTATTCTTTTTCTGTTTTGTACATTTTAAAAATGCCAAATAAAATTCTGTATCTAGCCAGCTAAAAAAAGATTTTAAAAATAGTACTTCCTCCATATAGATTTCGATGTATATAAATATCTTTTCATTTTAGTATCTTTAATAATAATAATAATTAAAAGAGAATATAGTGATCTTCTTATAGGAGTATTTAACACTAATATTTTTTATCATACTCTTATGAATTTATTTTTTTATTTATCAGCCGTGATATAACTTTCATGTGAATGTCATGACATATTTAAAATAAAAAATATAAAGAATACTTTAGTAGAGTACGATATATATTTTTGATTTAACATTACCAGATTGAAAAATCTTAGTTATTTATATTTTTAAACCTCAGTGCATCCCAATTAAACCAAAACATACTTTAAAATAAAACAAAATAAAGATGGAGCTAATTTGGCTCTTAATGATCAAATTTGCATATGCTAGTGTGTTAAATCTTCATGCCTAGCTAGCTCATGAGATTTGATAATTAAGATAAATTATCTATAGATCAACATCTGTACATCTAGTTGTTTATTATCATTATTGAGGAATTAAAATCACATGCTGGGCATTGAGAGAGGATAAAAGAAAAAGATTGATGTTGATCTATTTATCAAGACTAATTATAATTATAAATCTAGATCTCTAGCTAATTAACCATGATAATTATTTAGAGGACCTTATAATTAATCGACAAACCCTAGAACTACCCGTGAAGGTATTGTTGGAGTTTCCTACTTATTTCCACTCTTAATTATTACTCTAATTAATTATTTAGAGTCTAAAAAAATGGAAAAAGAGCTGTTTGGAAAGGTGAGCACATGTCAGCCACCCAATTTTTTAATTACACATTTTCCAATTAAGTGGGAGAAATTGTGAAATTTTATTAATTAACTACATATTTTTATACATATTTAATAATCCAGTATAACAAGGAATAACACCAAGACCTTAACTTAATTAATTCCATTAAAAAGTTGTTTAGTTTGGGTTAATCATCAAGCTTTTTTTTGTGTCCATATTTGTATAATAATCATATTTGCGTAATTGCTTACGTATGGTCGTCTGACATTTGGAATTAATATATATTCGTATAATAATTATTCGTTAGAACCATAGTAATAATGCAAAATTTAGTTATTTATATAATTATAATTTATTTAATTTTCTATCGCTTATAGAAATAATATATAGATTCTTTCATATATAATTTTTGAATGTTAGTTATGTGAGAATCGCAAACTCATATTTATCATATATACTTGATGGTGAATATTTTTAAATTTCACGCGTTATAATAACTAAAATATTACCAATTATTATCCTCATTAATTCACTTCCTAACCATCAACTCAAGGATCCTATGAGATCTTTTTAGGATTAAGTGGCTCTAATGTTAATATATAGTATTATTATTTTTTTTGTATCTGTTCTTCTGTACTTAACTATTTGTTGTCGTTTTGAATGTGAGAAGATTTAAGCACACTAGAAATGTTGGATCATCACATTTTCTAATTATTTATATATCTGTTACCGAAAAATTCCATTTGGATTAATTGATGACATTTTTACGGTACTATAATAACTTATCCACTGCTTGACAGTTGATACAGCTAGCATTAATTTTAGCATAATATAACCAAATCGTTTGCATCTCTTAGTAAATATTTATGTCAGAAATATAAGGACCAAGATTGGAGTATATATGATTTATCCAAATTACTTGTTTGGTGAACTGACATATATATATATATAAAATATAAAATAAACGAATAACATTAATACATCTTATTGTGCATCCCAAAGTTTGATAAGAGCAAGTTTCATTACTTTGGTGAAATAATCTCTCCTACAATAAATTATAATATGAAAAAAAATGGCTTTTTTAAGATCTCAATTTCATTCCATGTGTTACCATGAAAATTTTCTGTGAAATATAAGTAGAAGTTGCATTGGGAATGTGGAATATACTCAAAATTTTGTTTTCACTTTTATTATGTTTTTCTTTTTCAAATTCATCCTAAATATTTTATTCTTTAACAACATTAAATTATGCTATATAAATTATTATTAACAAAAATTATAATCAAATACAACTTTAAAAATTTAAAATTATAAAGTGAAAAAATGTTTGTAATGATGTGTACGTAGTAGCTTGTATAGAAATAAATCTAATCTATGACAACATCTGACTATCTATTTTGAGATAATTATTTTTTTAGAACAAATTTAATTATATGTTTGAGTTAAATCAGTTGACTTGAGTAATTTTTTTTAGTTTTTATAAATTGTGAGGTATAAATCATATCAAAAAAAAATATTACATTCAAATTTTAAACATTCTTTCTAAAACGTACGGCTAAGCAAATTTCCAACTCCAATTTTAATTTCAACTTTAAAAATTCAAAATAAAATGAATATTTCTTTTGATTTTCGTAGTCAAATGCCAATAGCCATAGCTAAAAGAAAATGATCTGAAATGGACTACAAAATCGATCCCCATTAATTCCAACATTTTGTTGCCTATTTTTATAATAAAAAATTTGTCTAGTCATCACAACAACAACAAAATGCTGATTTTTGTTTATAGCGTTAAAAGATTAGGGTATATTAAATTTAGGGTTGTTTTCTGAAGAATACACCATCTTTAATTATTGCTTTTGTACGTTGATGTTAGTCTAGTGGATTAGTTTTTTGCTAGACTTTATAATTCATTGAGCAAATTAGCTAGTGTCATTGTTGGTATTCACAGAAAGGAGGCAACAAACTAAAACCTTAAAATTAAGGAGAACTTGTAAAATTCCACTAGTTTAGGAGCTAATTAATTAGAGTTGTACACTTCAGTTTGTAATATATATTATGAATCTTACTAGATTTTGATACGTCTAGATACGTCTAAATATATGTATTTTAGGATACATGAAGTCAGAATTAGATGTAACTTATTCTAGATACATGAAGTGTACATCCAAATGAATTCACGAGTATTTGGAATATATAGACAAATCTTGCTCGCTCTCACCCATCTCGCTCGTCACTCTCTTGTGTGTCTATTATCTCGGATATATATATCTAATGTGTATCCAGTGGGATATATATATGTATCTGGGATACACGACTATCTCGTTGACCTCCCTTCCCATCTTGCTCACACATCTGTATGTATTTGATGTGATTAGCATGTGTATGAGATATATGTCTATCTCGTTCGCCTTCCTTCCCATCTTGCTCATCTCTCTCACTATTATGTGTATTTGGTATAAAAATTTAGGTGTATCTTTCATAATATATGGTTGAAAACTTTTAATTAATATATAATTATTTAAAATTATAGAATTAGAATATACGGTAGGGATGTATATCTAATAAAATAAGTTTTTCCAAAAAAATAATGTAGATCGGTAGCTCAAACTTGTGTATGCTTGTTACTAGTATTTAGGTTTGATTCTGAAGTGGCTAAATTTATAAATTGTGCCCATGTAATTGTCTACTACTTAAATGATATCCCTAAATTCGCTTTCCGCTCCGTTGGTCTAATTTGAATAAATACAAAATATTTTGTCGAATTTGAATAAATAAAAGTAATATTTTTCACAAAAACAAAAAGTATTTTGCCCTCACGCAGGATCGAACTACGGACCTTCAGTTTACAAGACTGACGCTCTACCACTGAGCTATAAGGGCTTCTTTGTGTGATGCATCTGCTTTAAACTTATTTTTTCATATTTTTATTTTTGCCCCTTTCTTTATTTTTTGAGTGTTGTTGCGATTCATTGTTCATTTGAATGAGCGTGCAATTCAATGGAGAAGGAGAACACCTTTGATCCTGTAATTATTCCTTCTTCTTTCTTTTCAATCTCCATAAGTTTGTTCCCCGACGATAGTGTTTTGATCTGAAAATATAGAACTGCTTTGTTTGGCTTTAAACAGGATTTGGTTCACGAAATTTTCAAGCTTGTGTGGAAAAGAAAAGCTGCAGGTTAAACTTCAGTTTTTCTTCTGTAATTGAATTTTATTGGTTTTAATTTATCGTTACGTATTTGATAATCGTCGCAGAACGAGGGAAAAATGAATTATCTGAGAATATAGACAATGAGGTAAGCAGAATTCGTCTATCCTTTCGGTTTAACACTATCTCCTTGTTGTTTTTGATACTTTTTGAATTATTTTGCTTAGGGTTTGCGAATTTTGTTGGAATTATTGTTTGTGGTTCAAGTGTGTGTTGTTGAGCTTGAAAGCATTTTGTTAAATGTGTTTGTAGGTTGGGGCTAGCTCATCAAAGAGAATTCGACCTACTTTTGGTAAGAACTTGGCTAATGCATTGTTTTCATCTCAAGTATGCTACTGTGTTGAACATTACCATGTCTTACTGATGACTTTAAAATCATGGTTTCGAACTTGGATACTGATTCAATTGGTTAAATGCACTCCGGAGGTTTTAGACTTTTTAAGTCAGATTGTCTTTAGGTTTATTTTTGGATTTTTAAAATGTGGATTAAGGCATAATCTATCTAAATATTTTGGAAATAAACAAATTAGAAAGTAAAACAATTCTATTAGCTTATTTAGGAACATCCCCTTCAAGGTAGCCATAATGGAATTACAGAAGCCAATTGCATATCTTAAGAAAGGGGTAAGACATGATAATAGGGCAGGTACTTAATGGATGTGCAATGGTATATAGAGAGCACATGAATGGAGTTATTACAAGATTAATTCCAATTCTACAAACCAGGTCATCGCTTGAAGATAGTTTGCAGACCAAATATACTCTCTTATTTCTTTTACCCTAACAAAAGGGAAAAGAGAAAGCCAGAAAGCTTGCGTTATAGCTTTCTGTGAAGGGCGTGTTTGCTTTATTTTATGTATCACAGAGACATTCTCAGTCTAAAGTTTGATTTCTCTTACTTGTAAGCTAGTGGAGACGAACTTAAACATTAGTGAAAAGAATTAGTACATTTGTTCTAGGTCCAGTTGGGATATTCCCCAAATTTTTACTAGAGGAATATTCAGTTTAGATATCACTCATGGCAAGTTGCAAGGATTTCTGAGCAAGATATTTCTTTGTGCTTTTATCAATCAGAAAAGTAAACTAATGTACTTCTCCCTTTTTTTCTATTTTATTTTACCAATGTTAGTTTCTTCATGACAAGGTAGCTTAACTCGCAAGAAAAGGGAAGACAATGAAGAAGAATTAATTTCTGTTTTGTTTTGCCATTTCTCATTTCTTGTTATGGCTTTAGATGTATTAGAAATGTGGGTTGTGGCAAGCAAGCTTTTCTGAGTATTACCTTCTTGATAACAATGACATATCTAACCTTTAACAAGAACTACATTTAGCCCACCTTTAGTAACTGCTTCTTATACTGGTATTTACATTTTCTTATAAGTGTTGGACCTCTGGTTTGTTATATATTAGCTGAAAATGGATACTTTCCTTGGACAATGAGTTATCCTTCTCATGTGTGTGTTTCTGTGTTGATGATAAAAGCCAATGCAAATGCACTGAAGCTGAGCTCTGAACTCCTCCGAGTCTTTGTAGCAGGTTTGATCATCAATGAAGAAAAATTGTATTATTTAATTGGCTAAAGTTTCTCGTGCATACTTTTTATTTTGAGATCTGTTTCCTTGATGTAGAAGCTATACAACGTGCTGCTACTATTGCTGAAGCTGAGGGCAGTGTCAAAATCGAAGCAACTCATCTAGAGAGGATACTTCCTCAATTACTTTTAGATTTTTAAGCTACTTGAACGAGATATGAAATTATAAAGTTATGTCAGTAGAGTGCAAAAATGGGGTTTATTTTTTTAAAAATAGGAATGCAACTTTCTCTCTAAACATGCAAGATGTTGGATGATTTCTTTTACAGCTGTTGAACTAACTTGAAAATATTGATTAGACGCGTGCTTTTAGAATCTACGATACTCCATACGTAGCGCATGTTAGTTCTTTTAGAAAATGGTCCTGAAGAAACTTTTGTTTTCTAAGATAATCACAATTTTTTATATTAGTTTTCTATTCAATCTTATTCATTGAAGACGTTTTTAGTGCTAGAAATTATTGTCATACATTGTGTTTGAATTACTTAACTTTCCTTCACAAAGTGCAATTTGGCCAGGATGACTGCAAATATGCGAAATTGCTAGATCAAAAGCAAGTAAGGTAAATCTTATACCATGTATTTTATCAATGTTTTGAAGGTGAAACATAGTGGTATATTATCCTGTCTGGCAGTGTTTCATATTTGCAATTGCATGCATAATCTGATCTAAGATTAACAATTGCAGATTTTTATTTCAGATGAATGAGGAGATACACCATTTTTTAATTTAGTGCTTAAGTAAAGCCGAAAGGAATAAAATTAAAGGAGGTCTGAATCCATTCAATGTTATTGATAAATTAGGACACACCGCTGTAGGATATACAGAACATTTAAATGAAAATGGAAGCACTTGTTTTTGCAATTTCAGGTTCTAGGATGCCTTTCTTATTTCACTAATTTGCTAAGACTATTGAATGAAGTAAAAATAATATGACATTTGGATTTCATTATTGGTACTTCTGGCATTTGGCTATTGCTCACAGCATGGAGGATCCTGGTTCTACACCTTTAGTTGTTAGAAAGCTATTACCTGGACAAGCAATCATGTTATTGGTGTCTTCTGCGTACAAGATGCTCAGGTTTTTGCAAGATATCCTAAATAGGTTGGTTGGTTGTTGCTCTATTTGTTGTTAGAACACTGTTTCCTCTTCAAATTATTCTGAACACTTGCTGTATCATACTAATGAACCGAATAAGGATATGCTTTCTGTTTCATGTTTAAAATCTTCCATGATCTAGGGTTACTTAGATTTTTATAGACCAATTCACTAGCTACTCTCTTGCTTGTGATACAAGTGTTTCTATATTGATCATATTAGTATGTCGGAGAATTAGCAGTTTCTGGACTGAGTGGAAACAATTCCATTCACATCTCGAACTACAGAGTACAGACAATAGCGTCCGGAGAATTAGTAGTTTCTGCATCTAGTGGAAATAATTCGATTCACATTTCATACCAGGCTTTAAGGTATCGTAATATAGCAGAGAGAACTTCTGCAAAGAACTTTCATACAGCTAAATATAAGCTTCTCATATTGGAGAGGAAACAAAATACACAAGGACAGTCTCTCATATTGGAGATGTAACAGAATACACAAGGACAGTCTTACATGAGAATACTTTCTTAGTTTCAGGACAAACTTTTATTTACTATAAGTTATCCACTACATACTTAATGCTTGATCTGCATCAACATGCACCTAACATCCTTACTATTAGGCCTCTCCTTGGGATTCTCCATGGTACAAAAGCAGGCAATCTTGAGAACCAAAAGCATTTGGTCCTCATTTCCATTACCCATCAGCTTTGGATCAATTGCTCTGTTTGGATCCTCAGAAGTCATGACATTTCTCATCCATTTCACTAAACTCATCTCAGACGTGTTTTGGAAGAACTCATCAGATGGAAGCTTTCCCATAACTAGCACGCCTAGCAGCACCCCAAAGCTGTATATATCACACTTATCAGTGAACTTCAGTGTCTGATGATATTCTGGAGCGATGTATCCTATAGTTCCTGCCACATTTGAAGTTGTAATATGTGTATGAGCATCTGGGACAGCCTTTGCAAGGCCAAAATCCGCAATTCGAGCTTCCATGTCATCATCCAGGAGGACATTGCCTGGCTTTAGATCTCTGTGAATTATACGCTGAGTATGATTTATATGGAGATACTCGAGTCCAGCAGCTATTCCCATTGCAATTCGGTGACGTGCCGACCAATCTAGTTCCCGTTTCCCCTCTCTGACTTGCTGGAGGGTATCCTGTAAGCTCCCATTTTTCATGTACTCATAGACCAAGTAGTGGCAGTCTGGTCTTGGCATATGCGCCAGTAGGGGAAGCAAATTCCGGTGTCTGATTTGACCTACAATTTTGATTTCTGATTTAATCTGGCGCATTTTCTTATTCATAGCCTTGCTATCTTCCTCAGTGAGTTCTGCAGCATCCTTTGGTGGTTGTATGATCTTCTTTACAGCTATAATCTTTCCGTCACTTCCAGGTAATGCAGCTTTATAAACTTTTCCACATCCACCTTGCCCAATGAGTTCTAGTGATTCCAATCCATCTTCATTCTCCAGAAAGGCCAAGTGCTCGGCTTTCTTAATCAATGGACTGAAAATTGTTAAGCCTGGATCATTTCTGATCCCTCTGATCAAAAACATAAGCACCTTGCAGAGGACGGAGAAGATCAACGCTGATAAGCCCCCAGCGAAAACTCCAGCAAAGAATCCAAGAATCCAGGCGCCTACCTTCCTTCTGATCTTGTTATGTTTGTCTTTTTTTACTGGTACTACAACTGTACTAGGTCCTGGAGCTTGGGCATATCTTGATTTGGACTCCGGTGCCATTGCAGGGCTGTGCCGTGGCCTTGTTGCGTTCTCAGCAAGAATGTAACGCTTAAGAACATAATCTTTTCGATTTAAGTCTGTTGATAAGTGCTCAACTTGACTCACGACAGGCACCGTACCTTCAAGGAAACTATTGTCTGAAATGTTGAGGAGCCGGAGATTTCTGAAAGATTTCAAGGATTGAGGTATTCTGCCAGTAAACATGTTATCAGCAAGGGAGAGTTTTTCAAGGTTAGGAAAGTATTTCAAGAAGTTCAGGTTCCCAGATAACTCATTAGAGCCAAGGTCAAGGATACGAAGTCGGACTAGAGATGATAATTCAGGTGGGACTTTGCCAGAAAATTGGTTGTTTTGAAGGTTCAAGATTTCCAATTTTCTGGAGTCAACTATTTCAGTTGGTATTCTGTCAAAGAGTTTGTTGTTTTGGAGGGACAGCTCTTTGAGCTCAGAAAGCCTCCCAATGGCAGGAGACAGAGTACCCTTCAACCCGTAGGATTTGAAGACAACCCTTGTGACTCTTAGCACATTTGAATTGTTTATGAGTCGTTTTTCGCATGATATTCCAACAGAGTTGCATGGGTTCTCAAGAACATTGCGCTGAGCAGGGATGCCTAAGCCTTTTTGGACAAGCAAAAGAGCACTGTGATCAGGTGAGTAAAGGTTTAGTTTTGCTTGAACAAGAAGGATGACAGTGAAAAAAGACAAAAAAGAAAGGTGTATATATGAGGCTGTGAAGGTCATCGGATTGGTGTTTTCCGACAGTATTGTGGTGGAATAGGGAGGTGGATGAGGTACCACAGTGGTGGTGCTTGAGGAGTAGGATGTCTCTTTTAGTTGCTTGGTGGTTCTGTAGGCTAATATTTAAGGTAATACGAAGTGGAAAATGACTTCATAAGTCAAGTTGGGACGTATGTGGAAAAGTTGAGTAGTCCAGGGTCCCAATGGGAATTTCTTCTCCTCATGAGTTGACCTGTGAAATTCCTCATTTGCCATTTGCATTACCCAATTATTTCGGGACAAGAGTGCTTAGTTCATTTCCTAATTTCTTTTGTGTATGCTGGCTATTACAAGGCTAACCATGTTCGTTTTTGAAAATCTTAAACCTTATGTATACATTCATGCAGGCATTTTATATGCTTCAATTGACTCATTTAGTACTTTGGCTGAATAGCATCCATCTGTGTCATATGAAGAGAATTGGAGAATTCATTGGATTCAAAAGAGAATGTACAATGGCAGAGTGTGACAAGGTGAAGTAAATAATGGTCTTGACTTGTTGAGGTCATTTTTGTTGCCCAATTGGTGGGGAGTTCCATCACCTTTTGGGAAAATCATGTCTGCTTCATTAGTTGCTATATGGTCCCTGAATTTGTCAGGAAACCCTATTTCTCAAACAGATTTATTCCTGGATTTCTCTATGCAAATAGCTGGTCAGATTCACTATTTACTTATTCTAACTAGTACATAAATGGTTACACATTTATGTTATACAATTACCTAGTACTATTTTTAGTTTTAAGTAGTTGAATGGGTGGCTATATAGGTTGGTTCTTTTCCCCTGATCAGGTCGAGATTGTTTATTTTTTGGAATGAAATCTGCAATCAATAGTGAAAGAACGTAACCATTTATAGATTACGTGATCGAATTGCTTGTATTTTATTTTATTATGTTGAAATGAAGCAGCACAATATGAATGCTTTAAATTAGAAAATGTTCGATGGTGATATAACTTTGTGTTTCCATTGGGTGGCTTTCCCTGTAAGAACTGAGAAACTTCTTGAGGACAATTTTCGTTCAAGTAACACATGCCAGTCATTACGGTGCTGGTGCGATGGAAACTGTTAATTTAGAATATAGTAACTTGAAATTTATTATAATTAAGAATTCATAAACTTCAAATTATGATTCCGTCTTTGTCTTTAACTAACTAATAATAAATATAATATATTATAATTAAAAATCCATAAGCTTTAAATTGTGATTTCGTCTATGCCTTTTAACTAACTACAAAAAAATTTTTTTAATCGCTGGAAGAGGATAAGTGATTAGAAACTTCATACGGTCGGTCTATGTAATAATGTAATTTAATATTAACTTTAACAAAAGATGAAAAGCAAAATAAAGAAGCAAGGGGTAATTGTCATTTGATATATACAATTGATTATTATAGGAAGTAAAACATTTATATTTATGTATTATATTCTGTATAAGTAATCTTGCTTTATGTTTGCTAACGTGCTATAATATTTAATTTACAATTTAAAAACTCATATAGAATTTATTTAAAAAAAAGGAATAACTGACACATAAATAATAAAATCCTACCTAATTAATTATTTATCGCATAAAATAATATACAAATTTTCCGTGAAACACGTGCATTAAAATTATACTCCCTATTATTTGTTCATTAAAGTATGTTCAAACTTGGTGACCATGCTTATTACTTCATTTTTGTTTATTTGACTGAAAAGTGGGACTCTATTGTTCTTTTTTCCAGCCATGCCCCGTGACACACGCCACGGGCTTGACCCAGGGGCAAATCCATCGTAAATTCAATATTTTCGATGAGAGATATGTTTATATACAGAATTTTAATAATTTTTTTAAAAAAAATATCAAATATAAACACATAAGATTAAAAATTAATGATATATTTGATATTAAAGAATTTAAAAATTAAATTTAAATCTTAATTGGCTAGTAAGCCTTAAGCAAGGCTAAAGTGGGATGAATTAAGAAAAGAACAATATTTTTTTAGTGAATGATATGGACGGAAAAGGAAAGAGATAAGGGAAATATGGCAAAAGAAATAACTCTCCTTTGATTGGTTTGAGGGACCTTATAGTTAGGAGCTAAATTTCTATGAACTCATGATCATGCATCAATTGACTAAATATAATACTAATTCCAAACTTTATTTTTATCATCTCTTTTGTGAGTGAAAGTAATTGCTATTTATAGCCAAGAAGTAATATACAAATTAACACTCGTCCATTAGGAAGTTATTCACTTAGCCAAGTGATGACAGCCCACATGACATTCATTTAGGATGACAAACGATAACAATCAAAGGGGTGACTCCCAAATTGTAAGTAATATTTATGCTATTCTAAAACTCGCTCTTACTAGTAGATGGTGTAATATGTTCAACTTGAACTTCAATGAAAAGATGTAATTAGAAGAATTACTAATTACCTACATAATCGATTCGAATGTTAAAGTTTCTGTGTTTATATTAAGCCACAAATTTCATGTTGTGCTAGGCTTAGGAAAACAGTGAATCTAGATGCACCTTAATTTTGACACGACTAAGTCCTTTATCTTTGATATCTTGTTGTAACTGAGACATAGTTGTTGTTGTTGATATTGAACGTTTAACTATTGATGATGAGTACTCTTGAATGAAAGTTAGGGGAAAAAAAAGAAGGTGCCTTCAATTTCATTACCTATAAATTATTACACACTGAAAAAGTAGTCTAGAGCAGATCAAAGACATGGAATTCTTTGATAACCAGACATTACAACATAATGGTAAAAACGTAAGTGGTAAAAAAGACCAACCAATTATTTTAGAGAACAACAAAAATATAGAAAACCAAAGCAATCAATAGAAGAAAAGGAGTTGAATCAATCAGTGCAGCAACGGTACATGAAGAACCTCTCCATTGGCCTTCCACATTCAGCACAAACAATCATTTCAGGAATATCGCCATCAAGTCCTGGAAGAATTAAGCGATTGCAATGCTCAGGAGTATGCAATTGCAAGAAATATTCAATAAGTGCTGGCACAAATCCTTTAACTCTAGCGTCTTCTTCCCAGACTGTGTAATCGTCCAATGTCTTGGTAATTATCTGGCTTTTAGCTCGAGCCATCTCGAATGATCCCCTGCTTATGAGTGCCCATCCTTGATCACTTCCATCGAAGCTCAGCATTGTCAACACTTCTTGCATAACTTTATCCTCTTGGATGGTTTTTCCTAGCTGCATTTTTGAGTAGAACATGCTCTCAATTCTTGTCCAGAAGTACCAAACTGATGTTAAGTCCATCAAACAGTAACTCAGATTTTCTGCGGTTATCATGCTGTTGATCCTTCTGACTCTCTCCTTGTTGTTGCTCTTTCCTACATATAACATTTGTAGGTCGATCCCAGCTCTCTGTGCCACGCTTCGTGCGGATTTTGTGAAATTACGGATCCAATCCATGTCTTCTCCTCCATATAAACAGATAAATTTACCACTTGCCATCTGATTAAAATTCTAAAGAATAAGTATTTTTGACAAGAAAGAAAAATTAATTATACTTGGGGATGTTAGTATAAGATAAGATTTTACCCAATCGATTAAGTTGGGATCAATGCCATCAACAACGAGCTCAAGTCTCCAAGATTCCATATTCCAGAGAGATTCCTCTTTTGAAAGAGTGAAGGGATAGGCCAAATTTCCCCAAATCCAAGCCATGTGAATAGCATTGGGACAGGCAACTTTGCCCTGTTGTGGATCCAAGGTTACAAGCATCATTTTCTTTGTGAAATGCCACTTCTCTTTGACGAATTTGACGATTGCTGGCTCTAACAAGGATGGATGGTGCAATGTGTACCACGGCATAAGTGCTTGCAACTCCTTAAATTTTTGTTCCTGCGCGTCATTCCATCCCTTTGATCGATCCACAATTGGAAGCCACACTATTTCGTATTGAAATTCTGGCCTTGACCTTGACTCAAGGTAAATTTGAGACAGTACTAATATCTCCTCATGGCTAGCATCAAGATCTGACAGCAGCAGTAGAACAGTCTTTCTTCTTAGCACTTCAACACTAGCCTGAAATTGAATTATACAAAAGTCATGAAAAAGTAAGAAAAACGCGAAAAATTGATTATAATTTCAAGTTATGAACGTACCCTTGTGTGAGTAGTTCCGACTTCAAGTGGAAGTAAATCATCCTTGATATAAATCATCGCCCTCATTATCTTCATGTTGTCAAATTGTGTTGCCTCAAAGAGGTGCACCAGCATTTGGAAGTACTCGACGTGCATCTTTTCCTCTGCACAGAACATTGATGTAAACAGTAAATACAAGCCCATCACAAAATTCCTATCACTTGCCTACATTTTAGTACTTAATAAATCATGATTTTGTTACTTACGAATATGAGCATAGCAACGGTTTAGTTCAACTCTGAGGTGTTCGCTTATGTTTTTCAGCTTGTGTGTGGAGCTTGACATTTCCCATGTGTCTGCTGTGGTAGCTACTATCATGCTGCAGCATCAATTAATCAATTGTTAGTTACTTCGATTTTGGACCTAAATATTAGACGAAGAAAAAATTAGTTTTGTTTAAAACAGAGGAGGCTTACTCATAGCTCATTCCAAGAAGGGTAGTTAGTTGGGAAGCACAAGCAACAATACTTTTAATAGTCCAATAAACAGCAGTAGGAATGTGACTGATCGCGACAGACAAAGGTGGTTGATCTTCAGTAATGTACTGAGAAGGAAGCTTCTTGAATTCCATTATGATTTTGGTTACTTCCAAAATGGCCTTGATGAGTTCATTGATGGCATCGAATCGAGACCTGAGGCTAGCACTATGTTCCATGATGTCTGGTAGTTGTTTTAAGATGGCCACAGATTTGGCCAAGGGATGAGTGGCAAACATCTGAGCCACCAGCCAGAATTCACCATAAGTAACGGCAAATGCTGCTAAAGATATGACTAGTTTCGCGTCCCATTGGTAGCCAGAG